GGCAGTGGAGGTGTCAGGAAAGATACATTGATTCATCTTGAGTAGTTATGTCCTTTGAGGATGACTCTTACTTTCATTTTTTAAGAGAGGATGTTTAAGAATTTATAGTCTTTCTGGTAACTTAGAATATGTCTACTCGAAGCATTATCAAGATTCTCATCTAGAAGAAGAGAATAAGAAAAGAATAAGTTTATTCAAATAAATTGTTTCTTCATATTTTTCTTTCTTAGTTTAATGGCATTGTTCAGTGTACTCCAATACTTAAATACTTAAATCTTCTCATTTCTATACTTTTATTATACAGTTAAAGGTTTTGGCTAGGCATGGTAGCTCACACCTGAAATCTCAGCACTTTGGGAGGTCAAGGCAGGAGGATTGCGTGAGCCCAGGAGTTTGAGACTAGGCTGGGCAACAGAGCAAGACCTTGTCTCTACAAAAAATGAGTAGGGTGTGGTGGCACACGCCTGTAGTCCAGCTACTTGGGTGGCTGTGGCTAGAGGATTTCTTGAACCCAGGAGGTCAAGGCTGCAGTAAGCTGTGATTGTGTCATTGCACTCTAACCTGGGTGACAGAGTGAAACCCCAACTCAAAAAAAAATTTTTTTTGTCTACTCCATGCTGGCTCCCAGATTTGCTCTTTGTTTATTTTTTTTCTGTTTTCACAGCTGATAAGTTAGTTCAGTCTTATCACCACACATATATGCTACTATAATATCTTTTAGATAGTCTTTTTAAAAAAATTTTTCTTTTCAAATCACTCTACATACTACTGTGTAGAAATTGTTCCAGAACACATTAAATTTTTTTAGTTTTCAACTTTTTTTTTCAGTTGGTATCTCACTCTGTCATCTAGGCTAGACTGCAGTGGCACACTCATGGCCACTGCAACCTCAACCTACTGGGGCTCAGGCAGTCCTTTCACCTCAGCCTTCCAAGTTCCTGGAACCACAGGTGTGCACCACCACGCCTGGCCAATTTTTTGATTTATTGTGGAGACGAGGTCTCACCAAGTTGCCCTGGCTGGTCTTGAACCCTTGGGCTCAGGCAATCCTCTTGCCTCCTCCTTCCAAAGTGCTAGGATTACAGGCGTGAGCCACTGTGCCCGGCTTACTTTTTATTTCTTAAAATAAACTTTTTATTCCTGTAAGTCTAAAATTACTAATTGCCAACATTTTCCCCTTATGTTGGGTGTATAATGGAGATTTTTGTTGTCTTTATTTAACCAAGATGAATAGTTCAGGCATTCTTTTTGTTATTTTATGTATTATTATTATTTGTATACATTTCTAGGATACAAGTACAGTGAGTGTTGTTACATGGATACATTGCGTAGTGGTGAATCTGGGCTTTTGGTGAAGCCATAACCTGAATAATGTTCATTGTACCCATTAAGTCATTTCTCGTTCCTCATCCCCCTCCTGCCCTCCCACCTTTCTGAGTTTCCAGTGTCTATTATTCCACACTCCCCACCAACGTGTACACATTATTTAGCTTTCACTTATAAGTGAGAACATGAGGTACTTGTCTTTCTGTTTCTGAGTTTTTTCACTTAAAATGGCCTTCAGTTCATCCATGTTGCTGCAAAAGACATTCTTTTTTTTTGAGTTGGAGTCTCACTCTGTCGCCCAGACTGGAGTGCAGTGGCTGCTCCCAGCCACCGCAGTCTCGACCTGCTGGGCTCCGGCGATCCTTCTGCCTCAGCCTTCCGAGTAGCCGGAATTACAGGCATGCGCTACCACGCCCGGCTGATTTTTTGATTTATTGTAGAGATGAGGTCTCGCTGCCCAGGCGGGTCTTGAACCCGTGGGCTCAGGCAATCCACTCACCTCAGCCTCCCAAAGGCACAGGATTACAGGCTGAGCCACCAAGCCCGGCTCCAGACATTCTATTTTTTTATGACTGAATAGTATTGCATTGTGCCTACACACCACATTTTCTTTATGTATTCATCCGTTGATACACACTTACATTGATTCCATGTCTTTGCTATTGGAAATAGTGCTTTGATAAACATACACATACAGATATCTTTTTTTTTTTGAGTCGGATTATCACTCTGTTGCCCAGATTGGAGTGCAGTGGCTCGCTCCCGGCCACTGCAGCCTCAACTTGCTGGGCTCCGGAGAGCCTTCTGCCTCAGCCTTCCAAGTAGCTAGAACTACAGGTGTGCGCTAGCATGCCCAGCTAATTTTTTGATTTATTGTAGAGATGAGGTCTCGCCAAGTTGCCCAGGTGGATCTCGAACCCACAGCCTCAGGCAATCCACTCACCTCAGCCTCTCAAAGCGTGGGATTACAGGCTGAGCCACCGAGCCCGGCCAGGTATCTTTTTAATATAATGATTTGTTCTGGGTAGAAACCCAGTAGTGGGATTGCTGGATCAAATGGTAGTTCTATTTTTAGTTCTTTGAGAAATCTCCATATTGTTTTCCATAGAGGTTGTACTAATGATCATTCCCACCAACAGTTTAGGCATTTTTTACCTGAGATCCACAACTCCCAAATGCTTCATTGATAGAATTCTGGGAATTTGGAAATTTGCATGGGAAAAAATTCCATTTTTATTTTCAGTAATGTCATGGAGAAAACGTTTTCTTCTACCTATTCTGGTAGAAGATGCTTATAACAAAACGGAGTCACAAGAGAAAAGCATATAATGTATTTATTATAGGTTTTACATGACAAGGGAGCCTTCATAGGAAATGAAGACATGAAGGAACAAACTTGAATGTTATGTAAGGTTCATGAAGAGTGAAGAGTCTCGGAGACATGTTACAGGACAAAGTGCGTATGAGCTAAACTCAGTAAATGGGGAAACTTACCAAGACCCGATTGTTTAAATTCCTGTCACTGTGTCTTTGGTGGTGGGGACACTCCTTTACTCTGGGTAGAGGGAGAGCACCTCTCACTTGAGGGGCTTATGACCTACTTCAGGGGAAGGTCAGAAAGTCCTTTATGACTGCTTCAGGGAAGAAGGGCAGGGGGAAGGCGACAGTGAGCTTCCTGCTTCTGCCACTTTCTCTAATTCCTTCAGCTTAAAATATTCAATATGCCACGGCGCCATATTTTGGGAAGCATGTCCTGAACCCTATCAGTAACCCCTACTGAAAGTTAGCATATAGCCGGGATCGGTGGCTCAGCCTGTAATCCCGCGCCTTTGGGAGGCTGAGGTGAGTGCATTGCCTGAGCCCACGGGTTCGAGACCCGCCTGGGCAACTTGGCGAGACCTCATCTCTACAATAAATAAAAAATTAGCCGGGCATGGCAGCGTGGGCCTGTAGTTCCGGCTACTTGGAAGGCTGAGGCGGAAGAATCACCGGAGCCCAGCAGGCCCAGGCTGCGGTGGTTGGGAGCGGCCACTGCACTCCAGTCTGGGCGACAGAGTGAGACTCCAACTCAAAAAAAAAAAAAAAAAAAAGTTAGCATTTTCTTCAGTCCTGAACAGGGTGGTCTCACCTGTTAGCCTTAAGCAGTCCTCTCACCTTGGCCTTCCTAAGTGCTGGGATTACAGGAGTGAGCCACTGTGACCAGCCTGAAATACTTTTTAAGTATAATGTCCTTTATACTTTTGATGATAGTCATATATTGTGATACTATGTTCATGTTTTTATATTTAAGAATTTTTATATTTAGGAAACATGCTTTATGGAGAGGAGGCCAGAGTTAGTGAAATTAGTTTAAGGTCAGTTTAGGATATATTAATGACATTATCCCATACATTTTTCATGTCATAGTCACGAATGTAAAAAAAATTTAAAATTCCTGTTGCCTGTTCAGACTCATCTACTAATCTAGAGTAGTTCTGAGGAAAATTCATCTGAAATAGGTAAAAATATGAGTAGTGGAATTTTTTTTTTTAATTGGAGTCTCACTCCATCGCCCAGGCTGGAGTGCAGTGGCATGCTCATGGCCACCCTGCTGGGCTCCAGTGATCCTTCTGCCTCAGCCTTCCAAGTAACTGGAACTACAGGTGCACACTACCATGCACAGCTAATTTTTGATTTATTGTAGAGATGAAGTCTCACCAAGTTGCCTGGGCTGGTCTCAGACCTGTGAGCTCAATCAATCCACTCGCCTTGGCCTCCCAAAGTGCTGGGATTACAGGCTGAGCCCCTGAGCCCAACCAGTAGTAGAATACTTTTTTAAAAAATGTATTTGGAGCCGGGCTCGGTG